CCAGTAACTAACAAAACGACTTCATCCTCCATTGTTTTGGGGACACGGTGCAATTTTGTATTACATAATGTGTTTAGTTTTGCTTAGGTTAGGACATACACAAGTCCCTGGTTGAGAGCCCAGAAACTTGCAACCAAGGACCAGGTTCCGGAACTTCAGTGTGAAAGTGCCTGTAGTAGTTAGTTTCAGGTCATAAACTAACGAACTTTTTCCACTCTAAGTGCTTTCCGATTAACCATGCTAATAGCTGCCAGTAGAGGGCAGTGAAAGGATTGTTTTTGAGTTTCTGGTAAAGTAAATTTTTCATGCATATCTACTAGGAGTGTAATGGTACACAAGAATCACGGTTCGGTACATACCTTGGTTTTGAGATCACAGTTCAATATGTTTTCGGTACAGTGGAGGTAAAAGAAAGAAAACAAATAACTTCTTTTTTTCCTTTATTATACAGTGATTTACTGAACAAAGTATAATTTAAAGTCTCAATACTGCTGCAACCTACTAATAAAAAATTAAATGGTGCTTAAGTAAATCAAAATAAACATTCTCTAACGTAGATAAAAATAAAATAAATATCCATTAAAGTGCACATTTAGGAAATTAGCTGCACCTGATCTGTACTATATTCACATTAGCATCTTTCAGCTTCATACTAGAACTGTGCGACACAAATATTGTCTCAAAAAATTCAAAGCATAACAAAATAAATATGCATTATGATGTAGCATTTTAAAAAATACCTGTGTTGTACTTGTATTCAAGCTTCACATTGAGACATGCGCGTATGCGTAGCAGCGCGGCTTCTGCCCATTTCTGAATGTTGCTCGGGGGAAACACACAAACACAAAGGTTCCGTATTTGTTGCATTTGTTCTGTACATATGCGTATTCTGTACATACCCGTACCAGAAATCTTTGGTACTAATACGTGTACCGTTACACTGATAATATCTACAGCCATTCCAAGTCTATGAATTTGTCTTTAATCTCCTCCTTTCTCACTGCCCCCCTTCATGATCCTGCGGCGGTGCAGAGGCCCACCCGAGCCCCCCCAAAGCCGGCCCGCCTCGCCGCAGCGCTGTTCCCACAGGCAGCCTGACGCCAATCAAGTCCTCTCCCATCCTCAGCCACGGCTCGCCAACCATCCTGGGCAAGAGGGGCTACGAGCAGCACAACGGCCTGGATGGTGAGAGGGTGTGGCGGGGGGGAGGCAGCATGGTCCGGTCTGAGAAGTTCAAGGGGTGGATTCATACAGACCTGAAAGCGTGCAGCCTCAAACGGTCAAGCAGATGCGGCTGGGGGGTAGTAGCATTTCTTTCTGACAGTCAGGCCAACACATCAGTCTCCAAGTAATCCTCCTCCCACCATACCCTACTGACCCCTCACCCCGCCCCTCTGCAGCTCTGTAGTACCCCACTGATTCCTCACCCCCTCCTCTCAGTA